TTTTGTAAACAAGCTCTTATGGGGTGGTGTGTGTGTGTGTGTGTGTGTGTGTGTGTGTGTGTGTGTGTGTGTGTGTGTGTGTGTGGTTGGAGGGGGGGTATGCACGTGCATCTGTGTGTGTGTGTGTGTGTGTGTGTGTGTTGATAAAAAGCGCCACATCCTTGGCTCCTGGGCTGTTATTTGTGAGGATGTTTGGGACCAAGGTTTTTTTTCAAGGGGAGCTTCAACGTCATTCGTCTGTCTGATGTTTTGTCCGCTGGGATGGAATGTCAAGGGCAACCAGATGGTGCATGATTCATAGCAAATGCAAAAAAAAAATGTTTTTGGCTTTAAAAAAAGAGAGAGAAAAAGTTTTCCAAGGTTGCAAGCAACTTTACAGTCATGAAACTTCCACCACCGTAAGGACTAATTGTTTATTCACAATCTGTTATTTTATAAAGGTGTTGAGTAATCGTTTGCGAATTCTGGAGTTGTATGGTAGTACCTTCCAAGTTTTTTTTTCTGTCAACAAGGTTATTGTTTTGTATTCGTATATCTACTTGCAGTATATCATCTAGAAATGAATTAAAATACAATTACTCCATTGCAGCCCTCAACGCCATCATTCTTTTGTTACGTATTGTAATACTTTTTGATTTTTCATAGTAATTCATTTTCATTTCGTTTTTACATTTTAAAAAATTATTCGGTTAGTTTTAATTTGTTTTTTGAGCAGGTCTTTTTTTTTTTTTAATAGTTTTTGTTTTTTCAAAAATGCTTCATTTTAGTTTTGTTTCTGTTAGTTTTAGTATTACTGTAGTTGTATTTTTTGTAATATGTAGAATACATGTTGAGTGCAAGATAAAAAAAGTCACAATTTTGTAATAAAGTAAACTATACGAACGTACCAAAAGAAATATTTTTTAAATGAATTCTTCTCATGTATATTGTAATGTTAATTGACAAACACTAAAACGAAGGACGTTTTTGCAATAATTCTAATTACTTTTTGTTATCCAAACATAAAATGTAGTTCTAAAAAGTTTTTGTTTTAAAAAGCATTTTATTTCCTGAATGAAAATGTTTTTTTCAAGTTTAGTTTTAGTTATTTCCTAATTTATCATTAACCACAATAGACTTGTTACAAATGAATGCATTAAAAAAAAAAGGGGGGGGGGAACCTAAGCGGGCATGTCAATGCACGTGCGGCTAAGGCTCTCCCTCACAACCCAGGCTAAACCTCCCTCTTCCCCGACATTCAAACCCTGTTTTTCAGTTTAGATGTGTCACTTCAGCGTACTGCTATTGACCAGTTACTGTACTACTTTCCTATTGATACGAGAGCACTAGCACCATCTTGTGGTATTTTGGGGCATTCCAGGAAGAGCACAGATATGTTTTTTCATCAAATAACAGCATTGCCACTCCCCCCCCCCCCACCACACACAAACATATACACACACACACACACGCACACGCACACAAAACTGAAGAGGTGAATTTGCGAACCGTAAATACGCAGGGGGATTGTTGTCTTAGCAATCATGCAGTTCATCATATTGTGAGCCACACGGATCAATTGTGAGGCTGCCGATTTTCTTGCCAAACTCACTGCAGTCTTTGTACTTGAGAATGCAGTTTCCTGTATTGACTGCAGGGCCTCAAAGGGAAATAAGAGAAAAGACAAATTCTTCCAAATTGTCTTCCACATCACTGAGCAGATTGGTCCTTAGAACTTTTTCTTTTCTTTTGCAAGAAATGACCAAAATAAAGATATATGCTAGCATTATGTGTGTGTGTGTGTGTGTGTGTGTGTGTGTGTGTGTGT